TATCTCCAAGGCAGAAGATTCTTCAGGATTTGTGTTTTCTTGGGCTTGTTCTAAGCAGCACTTTTCCTTACAAAAGGTGCATGTGTGCGTGTGTGCATGCGTGTGTGAAACTTCCAGGAATTGGTAGGGTTAATTTTGGGGGTGTTTCTTTGGCTTATTCAACATAGAAACAGAAAGGCAAACGTGTTTGTTCATGTCATTTAAAAATGTCTTTATAGGAAAGGATGTTAAGATAATACCTTACATTGTATGTGGAGCTTTGTAGTTCTCAAAGCCATTGAAAACACATTTTCTTATGTGCATCTTCTGGCATCCCTATGAAGTAGGCAAGGCAGAGCTTACTGTTTTCCTTTTAGAGATGATGTAGCCAAGGTTCAGAGAGATGAAGTGAGTTATCGTAAAGCAGTGGTGGATGCAACCCCCGAATCTCTGGAGTGCTTTCTGCTTCACCACCCTGATTTGAGTGTAATGAGGTCATTCTTACCAAGCACTACCCAGGTCGGATAGAGATGTAATAAATCTAAAAAAATTTGCCTTTTTTTTCCCCTCTTTTTTCTTTTGGTTAAATAGTTAACTATGATTTGATATGACTTGTTTCTCCCCAAGTATAAATAGCAATGAATCTCTAGGATTTCTTGTAAACCAGCATGTGCTTTTCAGAAATCAAATGTCAAAGTATTTCCTGAAACTTGCTTTAATGAACAGGAGAAGTGAAGGTAAAAGTCGTCTTTTGCATGAGTTAATTAGGAAGCAGGATGTGAGAACTTGCTGTGGGAATTTAAAGAGGAATACTTATACTGATGTGCAAACTCGATCAGTATATTCCAGAGGGTTTCATGCTGGTAGAAGTTTTAAGTGAATGAAGCTTTCATTAAGCAGATCAGTTGTTTTTGGTTTGCATGAAAACCTAATCTGTTCCATGAGTTGGATCTAAAAGGGGTCAACCAGTCTACACTCCAAAAAACAGAAGCATGAGTTGGACTTTTAGTTTTGATTGCGAGGTGCCTTTATCTGGAAGCTCGAGTGTGTTCTCTGAATATAGAACAGAGTAATGGAAGATGCTCTTGAGTTTCGTAAAGACACGGAGTCAGTGCGACCCTTACTTGGGAGGTGGGAAGGACTGAGTTTTCTTTGGCAAATGTCTTTGTATCCCTCAACAAATAAGTCCAGGGCTGTATTATTAGCCTCATGTATCGGAGTATGGGTTAGAGTACATGTATTTTGGAAACCTACTGCTTTGCTGCACACTACATGGTTTCTTAGATGGCAACTTCTGAGTGAGTTGCCAGCTTCCTGAGAGTGTCTTGACCACTTAAGAAGGAGGCAGAAAGTTTTGGTTTGGACAGGTGACTCTCTTTACTTCCCATCTCTGGTGGTTTCCTAAGTCTACGTGATCTGGTCACGTTACTGATGGGGGTGCTGAGATTGGCTCTGATTTATACCCCAGCTTGTCATATAATAATTAGCTCCCACAAGGTTAGCAGTGAAATCACTAGCACAGCAAGTGAGACAGAGCAAGTCGAAGGTTGCCTTCTCTGAGTTTCTCTCCCGCCTTTAATTGTGTTTAATCTGACACGAATCTGTCCTTTGTGTGTCGGTTTGGTCTTTTCTGCTAGATTCTGAACTCCTGGAAAGCAGGTGTCATATCTTATTAATCACCATGAGTGTGCCTGGCACATAGTAGGTACTTATTACCATGTAGTTGGGTCATATCTGAAGAAGCTGAAAAAGGTGGTTTTTCTTGCAAGAGAGACAGTCCTGCAGTATTGCTCCTTAGTACATTCCATGCTTTGCTTGGAGCCTCGGGGAAGTCAAGAGATACAGATAGCTCCTTCCTTAGGGAGCCACAATGTAGCTGTATCATCTCAGTGAGAACACCTCCCAAAGGGTGAAACAATGCAGAGGTGGGTCGTTGTCCTGATGAGTTTTCCATGCAGAATGACTTATGCTACAAGGCTCTGCCACCTCCTGCCACATTTAAGAAGTTCCTTCCAGGGGGTCATTTTCTTTTCACGTGTGAAGGGATAATCTTGACTGGGTCATTGAGGGAATGAGGAGATGACCTGTCAAACGGAGTGCTGAATAATTCGCTATTCTGATGTAGATGGGGGTCTGTTTTAGTTTTAGAAGGTAGATTGCTGACTGGATAAGCGAAATGTAGTTTGTCTGTAAAACAGTATTATTCAGCGATAAAAAGAAGTCCTGATATATAAACTATCAGATCAATGAATCTTGAAAACATTATGGTAAGTAAAAGACCATTTACCAAAGACCACATATTATACGATCCTAGTTATAAAAAATGTCCGTAATAGGCAAATCCATAGGGTTTATAGAGACAGAAAGTAGATGAGTGTTTGTCAGCAGGGGTGGCTTGGGGCATAGGGAGAGACTTCTAATGAGTATGAATTTCTTTTTGGGGGCAACAAAAAATGTTCTTATATTACATTGTGGTAATCATTGTACAACTCTGAATATGTATACTAAAACTGAATTACAGATTTTAAATTTGTGAATGGTATCTCAATTCAACCTGTTAAAAAGTAAGTAGATTGCTTTGCAATCTACAATCTCTGAGGGTTGCTTCAGTGAATCAAATAGTGAGGGTCGAGTCTTTAACTCATCTTGATTTGTTTGGGGCCCAGAAGTCATGCTTCCTTAACAGTGGTGACCATGCCTAAGGAAAACCTGGTAACACCCAGGGCTACCACACTGGAAATCTGTCTCCCTCTCCCCCCCATCCATGCACAATCTTTTCAGGAGCTTTAAAATTTTATACTTCCAGAAATGTTGATTAGTGAGATATCCGATAAGAAATAACAGGGTACTGACAGCCCTGATTGTATAAATAGGCGTTTGGGATTGTGTTCATGGTTTGCTTGTCAGTACAAGAGAAATGTGTGATTATGTTGAATGATGGTTAATTTCCTTATCCACCCATTTTAAAAATAAAGATGTATGCCTGGAAGACAGGTGCCCAGGGAAAGAAGGAGCCCTGGAACTTTGATAACGAACCCTGGGCAGGAACAAGATCCTATATGGGAGTAGGATTTTGAGTCCTGTCCGGGGTCAGGCTGCAGCTGATGAGTTAGGGAAACAACGGCTGTGCCTCACCGAGCAGTTATCATTTACTCTAGTTTTGTGTTTGTCTGGACAGCTTTTCCCCCTCCTCCTTCAAGATCACTGTTAGCCCCCTCTTGGTCTAACTTACTGTGTTAACCGAGTTAGAAGAGTAGCCAGTGGATGTGCGCAGGTGCTGGAGGGAAGGGGCGCCTTCTAGCTTTGTATGGGAACTGTTCATACACAAACACTTCTCTTTGATTAAGTATCCGGTGAAACCAATTCACATGAACTCCAATTAAACTTTAATGAACAAGTGGGTGTATTAATATCAGCTGAGTAATGCAGGCAGCACAGATTCCAGTAAGTGACTCACTTCTCTGAGAGCTCATCCCCCATGCACGGTTGGAGTTACTAGAAAGCTTCCAGCTATATTTGAGCGGGTCTGGTCTGGGCCTTCCAGTTCTAGCAGTCTTCTTGCTTGTTATGAATTTAGTGACACAGCCACAGTCATCCAGGCCTCTTGTTTTCAGAGCAAGGATTGGGGATGGGGGGAGACTTGCTCATTTTGAGCAATGAGGCCTTTCGTGGAGCAATGACCATATGGACTGTTATTTTCTCCATCTTCTTCTTTTCTTTTTTTAAAGTGAGAATTCTTTTTCTCCTTAAACCCAGGGGCTATATTGCTGAACATCAAGGTAGTGAGGGCAGAACCCGTGGTTTTGAGCTAAACTTGGCCCCCTGGTTCTCACTTCCTGTCCCTGTCTGCTCTTCTGCCTCACCTCTACAAGAATCCCTATAGTTATACCAGAGATGGCAAGATGCGCTTAGAAGGGTGAGCCTTTTTCATTCGTTACGCATCTGCCTTCGGCTCAGGTCATGATCCCAGGGTCCTGGGGTCCAGCCCCGCATCGGGCTCCCTGCTCAGTTGGAAGCCTGCTTCTCCCTCTCCCACTCCCCCTGCTTGTGTTCCCTCTTTTGCTGTGTCTCTCTCTGTCAAATAAATAAATAAAATCTTAAAAAAAAAAGTCTGTTTCAAAAAAAGAAAAGGGGTGAGCCTTTTTGAGCACAGATCCTGTTCCTTCTAGAGAATAACTGTATCCACTTCCTGTATTTATTCATTAAACGAGATAATGTATAATGTCCTTAGTTTCATGCCTGGTGAATAGTAAGTTTTCAATAAACATTAGGTAACCTGCACCAAAGAATGAGGCCATGGAGATGAAGGGCACTCAGCTCTTGTCAATGAAGGAAATTAGACCCTCCTAGAGGTATGTCTTATACTTAAAAATGCCTTTGTAATTACAGAGTGTCAAAGACCAAAAGCTCGGAAGAGATAATGCACAGACAATGAAGAGATCCCTGAGGTTGGCTACGTCAGAGAAGGCTGGGGGTCAGGGCAGGGCCAGGTAAGGGTTTGGGAAGGTACTCTGAGGAGAAACGAAAAAGCACCAGGCCCCGTGCACACTTGCACGTGGGGTGCCATCAGTGTAGTTAGAGTAGGTGATATGTTGGGGTCTGAGGAGACTCATGGAGACTGAACGTAGCCTCCGCCTTGGCCCCTGAGCCTCAGTCCCATCTTCCTTTGCTGCTTTGCCTCCCGTTCTTTTGTACCATCTAGAACCTAGTTGAAAGTAGTGCAGGGCGCCTGGGTGGCTGAGTTGGTTAAGCGACTGCCTTCGGCTCGGGTCATGATCCTGGAGTCCCGGGATGGAGTCCCGCATCGGGCTCCCTGCTCGGCAGGGAGTCTGCTTCTCCCTCTGACCTTCCCCCCTCTCATGTGCTCTCTCTCTCATTCTTTCTCTCAAATAAATAAATAAAATCTTTAAAAAAAAAAAGAAAGTAGTGCATTGGTCAGGCAGCTGGAGATAAAGACAAGATTGTATAATGGGCTTTACGTCTGCAGCATCTCTGAATCAGAGTTTCCTTTCTTCCTTCAGAGAACCCCTGCATGTGACAGCTCCCCAGTCGGGGACAATGCCTATAAAATTCCTGACCTTGAGCAGCAGGGAGTGTATGCTTCCAGCAGTCAGGTAAATCCCAAGCCTTGGGAGGAAGGGGCCGAGTGGCACCTGCCCTGTTCCTTCTCTAAACTCAATGGCGGGGTAACCCACTCATTCATCCACTGAAGACCGGGCTGGCGGAGGGGAGGCTTGCTCGACTAGGCAAAAAGGGAGGTAGAAAGCCCTGCTAACCCGAGGTTCCGTGCCCCCAACTCTCACCCACATCCCAACATGGTTCCTTCAGGGGAAAAATGGGTAGGACAGGGCCATAGTGTGTGGGAAGGAGGGACAGTTTTTTGAGCAGAGAATGCTGTTATGCAGTCTGTAATTCAGGCTGCTTAATCTGCTTGAAGGACACACTTAGATAACTCAGACTGTAAGCAGGTCTTGTGTAATGTTGTCAAGGTCTCTGGTGCAAGAATCAGCCCCCATTTCAGAAATAGCAACCACATGTGAACAGTGGACTCTTTGCTTCCCTCCCAGACTTCTTAGAGAATGTTACAGGATAAAGAAATCTATGAAGTGAAGGCCTAAATTCCATCATGATAATAGAGGTGGGAGAGTCTCATCAAATAGATTAATTCCATGTTTGGAATTTTGGATAAAGCAGAAGGGATTCTTGCAGATCAGGAATTGAATAGGCTGATGATGTAAATTAGGAACTATATGTTGCTTCTAGAAAACAAAGGAATGTATATTAGGTTTAAAAAAATATAGGTCAGTAGTTAATTTAGCAGTTAGAGCTAGGTGTTTCATTATTTGAGAACTCTCTAGGACATCATTTTTTTATATACTGCTGAGAAGTATATTTCATTTTACAAATGAAGAAACAGTAAACAGATATAAAGATCATTATCTAAGGACACTTGGACCAAGTTTCATTAACTACCTTATTCCTTTGTTTTATATTGGGTATTTCATATTTAAGTGAAATAGGAATTGCTTTAAGGGATTCATAAGATGACTGAATTACACTTGGTTTCGACATCCAAAGAGATCAGGGAGATATAACTAGTTAAACTGTCTACCTTGTGTAGCTGAGGAGACTTGTCATAGCAATTTAGTAGCCATGATGGATTATACATCTTTGATTTGGGGGCTCTGACAAATTCCTTCCAATTCAGACTTTATCCAGGTCCTGTTGTTTCAACAATGTGAAAGCAATATGCAGCAGGTACGCTTCCTCCTTTACCTCCTGTCATATTTTTTTCAAGATCACAAGCTGCATGTATTGTGTAGATTGATTACCTAGGCTTTCTTTTTTCTTTTTAATTTAAAAATTTTTAAAATTTTTATTATTTTTTTATTTTTAAAAGATTTTTATTTATTTATTTGACAGCGAGAGAGGGAACATGAGCAGGGGGAGCGGGAGAGGGAGAAGCAGGCTTCCTGCCGAGCAGGGAGCCCGAGGCGGGGCTCGATCCCAGGACCCTGGGACCATGACCTGAGCCGAAGGCAGACGCTTAACCGACTGAGCCACCCAGGCGCCTCTAACTAGCCTTCCTAAGGTGAATTCCTTTTTTGCAAACCTGTCCCCGCCAAACCTAAATCCTGCCCGAATTTCCCTCTTTACCTCATTCCTGGACTTCTAAAGTGGATCCTCTTTTCTGGAGATACTTGACAGATGACACTACTCTTCTCTTGGAGGCCACTTTCTGGTGCCTTGGGAAACCTCACGGTCCCCCCAGTTGCTCCCTGGTTCTCCTTTCCTTTTGTCCACCATGAGCACAGGTTATCTACTGGCCACTTGATCCTCCTGGGCACTCTTGCCCAGGTACCCCAAGTGCTCTCGGGTACCCAAGCTGATGATTGCTCCAAACAGCTGCAGTTTCCCAACTGAGTTCGTGGATCGGCATCAGTTAGGGCAATTCTACCAGAATTCAGATTTTCAGTCTGCATCCCTAAATCGTTGGCTGTGGGCCTGGGCATTTGCATTTTTAAAACCTTTCTGGGTAACCAGATGGGCACCCCTGCTTATTAAAATCTACCGTTACCAGTTTACTTATGGCATGCAGTGCTTAGAGCTAAAGCTGTTTAAAAGACACTTCATCCATTGGTTCCAGGATGAGAAAGCCACACTGAGAGCATGAAAGAGAGTGAGAAGGTTTCTAAAAGGCTATGGCCTCAGCTGGAGAGGAAGCTGGATGATGCTGCTGTAAGGGAACAAAGGCTCAGTGTCCTGACCATCTGCTGCTGTTATTCTCCAGGCTCATTCCCATAATGAGTATTTATTCTGCCCAACAACACTTGTTCCTACATGTATGCGACTATGGGTTCCGTTGTAGAAGTTTCCACAGGAGGGGGACTGAGGGCAGGCGTTCTTCACTCAGCCCCACCAAAGTGAGGCCAGTCATTTTATCCTGTAGGTGATATCCTTTCCACAAAGACTCACCTTCTTTTCTTGCCCCAGGCCCTACACAGACCCAGCATTTCCCTCTACATATTCCCTACATAATTAATCTGTCTTCTACCTTTAGTAATGCACCAGATTTTGTCAGACTTCGTTTAACTCCATTAACTCGTTAACAGATTTCGGTGAGTTTGCTCACGGGTGGAGGTGAAGTGGGGGCCAGTGTTCCTCCAGCTGAGGTTACCCTCTCCTCGGGCTTTTCTGAGTGTACTAAGTGGAATCGGTGTTACGACTTCTCAGTCATATCTTCCCCATTTTTAAAACTGCGGAACTGCTCTTACCACCTCACTGGGGAGCACACAGTCAGTAAATTCTAATGGAAAAACCTGCCTGATGAGTGGGGCAGGAAGGTGTCACAGCCGTACTGGTGAGTCATCTCAAGACCAGCTAGATTTGAGCTGTGGTGCTTCTTCCATGCTGACACTAAACCTCCCTCAGCATTCTGTCGCCTGAAGCAGCTTTCGAATCTTTGTCTCAGATTTCCTTATCTAGGTCAGACTTTGTCTTTTTAAAAATGGTGCCGGGACATCTCCTTAGTAGATTAGACTGGTCCCATTAGGATAATTGGCTTTATACATTTATGAAAAGAGCAACAGTGGGAAATTTTGTTGTCTCGAACAGGGTCTTTCCCTCCCATTGTGGGGCAAGGCACTAAGGGAAAACCTATGTAGTTTTTCTTTTCCTTCCCTTCCCTTCCCTTCCCTTCCCTTCCCTTCCCTTCCCTTCCCTTCCCTTCCCTTCCCTCCCCTCCCCTCCCCTCCTTCCCTTCCCTTCCTTTCCCTTCCCTTCCCTTCCCTTCCCTTCCCTTCCCTTCCCTTCCCTTCCCTTTTCCCTTCCCTTCCCTTCCCTTCCCTTCCCTTCCCCTTTCCCTTTCCCTTCCTTTCCTTTCCCTTCCTTTCGTTTCCTCTCCTCTCCTTTCCTTTTTCTTTTGTTTCATTTCCTCTCCTCTCCTCTCTCTTTCTTTCTTTTTTTCTGTTGTTGTTTGTTTGTTTTTTGGGATAAGATGTGATGTTTGTACTTGGGGTAGTTTTAAGGCACAATAGTGTTGGGGCCCCCATTAGGGAAAAAGAAAAAAAAAAAACAACCAACAACCCAGAGACCCAATTTTTTCCTTCGGTAAATGAATGGTCATTGTAAAGAAGGCTGTAGAGCATCCGGAAACTTTGAGTCACGTGAGCTGGCCCATTTCACTATATGAGCTTGAGTGCCTGCTTGTCGGTGGGGATCCTCAAACCCATCTCTTGGAGTTGCTGAATGGATCAGATAAGTTCATGCATAGGAAAATACTCTGTAAATGGAAAAAAAAAAAACTATTCTCATTTGTTTTCTTAGCACAGGTGCTGGTCTTTTTCTTAAAACAAAATAACCGTTCTTTTTCAATTGTAAGTTGTTCAATTGTTTCAATTGTAAGTTAAGTATACTCATTTTAGAAAATGAAGATGTCAGAAAGTTGTGAGAAGAAACTTCACGCATACTCACCATCCAAGATAACTGCTGTTCTATATTTTACACATACCTCCACACTATTCCTTTTTTAAAGGGGGGTCGTGTTATATGTATTTATTTTTACATGTTTTCTTTATATAATATTATATTGTAAACATTTTCCAATGACATTGAACACCCTTCAGAAGTATACATTTTAATCATTACATCATATCTGTCTTATGTGAGTAATGCATTTGCATGTCTTGTGATATATTTGACCATTGTTTTCATTTTTCCAATGTACAGTCAACAGTGCTTCCTATTTACCGGGAAGAGAACTTGCTGTAAAACAAGGCAGAGGCAGTCGACACTGTCTTTGCAGTAGAGGAATTGGGCATCTTTTATTTCATCCTAAAGTGAAACGTATTAGGCTGCAGTTGAGCAGTACTTTTAGTTAAGCTCTCAGTCAAGGTAAAGTTAGACTTGTGGAATTGTTAATTTAGAGAAAATTCTGACTGCAACCCAATCTATGAGGCCAAGTGCTCTTAATTAACATAACGTTAATTAGAGAAACATTGAAAAATAATATGGTTCGTCTCATGAATGCACTGCATTCGATAAGTTGGTTTATGCCCTCTGGAATACTTTTTATATTCTCTTATTAGGAGGATGTGGTAAATTTGTTTTGCCCAAAGGATTCATTTTTCTGTTGCTGGGCACATATATAATACTACAGTTACCACATTTTGGGATGTGATGACATGATGATGAAGAGAGGCCTTTGGATATTTTAAAATGGAGATTTAAGGAGCAGTAGACTAGGAGAGGGAATTGTGCTGGTATTTCAGTCTTGATCTTTTTTGTCACGGATTTATGTCTTTGCCTCTTTTTTTTGTGTTTGTGTGTGTCTGCTCAGCATCTTGCCAGGTACATCTGCCTGAGTTCCTTCCCCCCGTTTGTCCATGTGCCCACCCATCCCTCCTCCCACCTGTCCGTCTACTCATCCGTGTAATCATCCATCCTCTGGCCATTCTCACCTTCCCTCTCCTTTATCTCTCTCCATCTTCGTCTGTTGCCCGCATCCATCAACTCTTCTGTCCATGTCTGTCTGTAAAATGAAGGGGGAGACTGTTTTGATGGGAGCATATGAGTTTCTTTGTTGCATTTTACAAAGGGGATCACAGGGGCCAAG